TACATACATACATACATACATACATACATACATACATACATACAAACATACATACATACATCTTCTTATCTGCCTATTTGTTTAATCAAATGCCTTAACCTCCTTAAAGTGACTCCTGATGTGAAAGAGCACCAGCACTACTCTATAATTGTCACCCTGTCTAAGGATAAGTCCAGCCACACTACTGAGGAATCATATTTCAACTACTTGTACTTGATCTCAATCTATCAGTTGTGATTCTCATCTCATGAACATCAGGTGAGGGTTGGAACGGTCCAGAAAAGCAAGAGCTTTGTATCTCAGCTCATCTCCTTCTTCACTACAACATACTGGAGCAATGCTTTCATTACAATGACTCAGGCTGTTATCTGTTGATACATCTCCTGCTCCATTCCACAAACACTTGTGATCAAAAGACACTCCTCCACTTGATGCACCAGTGCCTTCCCACTTGAGAAGACAACATCATAAAAAAGCCAACAACGCACATCTGCATCTGTTTTTGCTGCTGCTGAAGCTACAGTGATTCTGTCTCCCAGCATACACACATTGTTCTATTGCAGGTGTATGACTTCTAGGTATTGGTCTTGTAGGACATCTGGTTCAGAATGTTCACCTCCACCAAGCAGTGTGTTGTGTTTGCATCGATACGCTGACTGACAATGAGAGGGCAGCCAGGCATCTGAAATATTTAAACCTTGTCGACCTCGACTTGTCTGTCTGTAAAACTCACCTTTAGCACATAAGAGATACTGTACAAACTTCAACAATCCTGTCAGGCCACTAACAGTGATAATTTGTGTTTGTTATCGATGTGCCACTTACTCTGCTTGCCTGCAGGTGCCACCGAGTGGTTTCGCCCAACTTTTTTTCCCAGGAAGGTCAGCGAGTAAGATCCACTCGCCGTTCCAGAGGAGTTCATAAACATTGTGTCTTTAACGCTCACTTCTGTTTGGGTGATGAAACTGGATCAGTCCAAAGTCTGCAGAGAAAAGTAACTTAAAATCCTTTTGAAGCCTAAAAAGATGAGAAAGGTTACTTAGTATGCAATCACGTGTCTCCAAAAATACTTCAATCCATGTTAAGAAACCTTGTTTAGGTTCTTATTATTTGCAGATGTGACAAAGCTCCCACACCAGTGAGTGTAATTCATTTCTCTGCCTCTTCCAGCTGCTAGAAGCCGCAAAATACCAGGAAGAAAACCTTCAAATCTTTAATATTCAAAGTCTTTTTTTTTTGTTTGTTTTGTTTCAGTCTTTTGAAACAACTGGTTTTGACACAATTGTTAAATCATTTAGCAAGAACAGGCACAAAATATGCAAATCAACTGATAAAATATCTGAGGACCGAAATACTAAAGTCTTTTTTTGTCAGGGGAGAGGTTAACATTGCTAGAAAATCTAAATTAAAAGACTTATCTGACAGTACCTGGTTCTGGGAGCTGATCGGATCCTCTCAATGTGGTTCAGTGGAGCTTAGTTGCTGCTGTGGATGAAAAGGATGAGTTGATCCTGATCTCTAAGGGGAACCAAACTCCAAACAGTCTTTAAATATTAAACTCGCAGAGATGGAGTTTCACCAGGGGCTGGCTTCAAATCCCAACAGAGAAAAGATGCGCCAAACACTCCTCAGGTTTCCTGTGTGTAAGTTAGAGATTGTAACGGAATGCTTTGTGGCACTCACAGTTTATGTTCTCATTTGTAATGTTTTCATCTGTTTTTCCTGGAAAATCCATCACTTTTCTCAATTACAAAATTTAAGGGAATGTAGCTAAAATAGGTCACTGGTTACATGTTTTCTTTACAAATGGAGGATAGAGGGAGCACTTTTCTAACAATAGGTCTATTCCTTCAGTGGGTATTGTTAATAAAGGCAGTGCATCTGCTGCTTCTCACTGACGCTGCTCTCAGTTGTTTCTGGATGAGCTATTCTTTCAGGCTTTCCTTTTTTTCTGTAAGCCAAGGGATTCATTTGGAACATTTGGTGCACGGCCTGGGCATCTGTTTAACACACCATACTTAAATGTAAATCCTCTCATGATGCTACTTTAATGAAAAAAAGAGTTGCCTGCTCAGCTTTTTAGTGTCCTGTACTGTAGATTCAAACCCTGCTCTGACTTGACCCTTTAAGGTGTTGCTTTGTGAAATATTCTAGTAAATACTGTAACTCATGTCAGTACAAGTCCCAACAGAAACAGGTTCTCCAGTTTGAAAAGGACATTGAAACATTGCTATATTGGACTGTTTGGCATGAAGACATTGTCTGACTGTTGAAATAATGTCGTTAACCAAACACGTCATTATACTGGTGATCAGCACCGTGTGAAAGGTGTTTCAGGTCTGTAACAAAGACAAACCCCACCTTTATCTCATAAAAGCAGCCAGACTCTTTTAAGGAATCTGAGGTGATCAGTACTCAGATATTTGCTTTGTGACTTTCTGACACAGTTACAGTGAACTGAAGGGACTATGATGTGTTTAAAGTGATCTCTGATAACATTTAGCTTTATGAGAAGGAATGTCAAAAGTTGTTTTTTTATATGAAACTGTTCTCTTCCACCAAGCAAAAAATGTGAAACAAATCAATGCAAATTCCAAAAGTAAGTTTAATAGAAGTTGAAGTGAAAAAAGTACCAGTTTTTTCTTAAACAGCTTTAAAAATGCATTTCTTTAAAGAGAATAGAATAAAATAGAAACAGCCTTCATTGTCCCGCGCAGGGAAATTGTCTTGTGTCTCAAGTCCTTGTGCTCGGCTTGCGCAAACATGCGAGCAAAGAGTTTGAGCAGGAATGTGCAAGAAGTCAAATTCTTCAGTCCAGCGCAACTTTAAAGTCACTTTTTATTATTTTAGAAAGGCAGTCTAGTGTTGTGACTATGGATTTATTTATTTGCTCAGTGGGTGAACATTTCCTTCTTGACAAGAAATCTGCAAGGATAAAAAATGCATCAAATGTTAAGATTCACATTAGGACCAAAAAACCAACAGTTGGCACAAGGATGGCTTTGACTGAGAATTAGATTAAAAAAAATTATACTTGTGTACACAAATATTACATTTTTTTCTGGAACATTTTCATTTCTGTGAAATATAACTAATCATTTAGAAACAAGGATATGCAACCACCATCTCTCAACCAGAGTCTCAGAAACGATGAGGTGATAACCAAAATGACATGCGTGACCTCATGCCACTTTGTGAGATCTTGTGAGATGTTAGAGCTCAGAAGATCATGAGCTCTATTGCCTAGGCAACAGATAAACATAAAAACAAGAAGTGAAAATGTCTCTCAGAGCAGCCATGAGGATATCCTTCTTTTCTACACGATCACTATTTATGAAAGCTTAGAAGGTGTCACAACAAATGTGTTTAAGGCGGGTAGCTTTTTAAGAAAGCCTGCAGGAGAAACTGTGTTTTGGGTGTTGCTCTGTGAAATGAGCTGTTCATGATGCAGGACTGAAGCTCAGCCCAGCTGCAGCCATGGAGGGGAGGAGGCTGGGTTGGCCCTGTTTCTAGGTGGGGTTAGCTGCTGTATAAAAAGTCTCTGTTTGGATCTACAACGCCCCTGGAACCAACACAGAAAAGTCACTTCTCGTCACTTCTGTCCTCTTAAGCAACACGGTGAGTTTTATCTGCAACTTTAAGTTTGCTGTTCAAAGTTTGAATCTTTATTTTCTGCCTCTTAGCTGCTCTCTTTTTAAATGCTGATGTAACTTTATGGGGTTGTGGCTGAGACAGTGTTTACATATTTGTTGTAATTAATGCAGTTGTGGTGGTTTAGCTGGTTTTCATTCAGAATCAGGCTTTAACAACAGAAAGAAAAGTAACATTTGGTGTAAACTACAGTATTCTGTGTCCATGCTGTGCTGGATGTGGGTGTGGCAGATCAGTCTGAACACTTCTAATAAACACACGGGGTTTGGTTTTTGTTCTCGAGCGAAGGTTGAACAAGGACAAGTTTCCTTCTTCTGCTATTGAGTTTAATGCAAAATAAAGTTTAAATCAAAGATATTTTCCTTTCATTTTAACCACTTTGACTTTTTCTTCACCAATGTCCTCTCCTCTTTACAGATGGCGAAACCATGTTCCATCGGTGACTACTTGACGCAATTCGTCTATCTGGGCATGCCTGATGAGTCAGTACGTAGCCCCATGGTTCTGTTCCAGTTGCTAAGGCCAATAAACAGTTTTTTCTTTTTTTTCTCCTCCTTCCTCTTGTGGTATGCTGGGGTGGAAAAAATGATCAGGCAGAGAAGGATAGAGAAAGAGAAGTCTGCAAGATAGACGGGCGCTGAATGAATGAGTTTACAAAAAGAAATGGAGGAAAGCTGCTAAGATAAGATGAAAGCTGACATTAAAAAAGAAAGTGAGACTTGATTGTAAAGTTTGTTTTAAAAAAGGGATAGGTGGCTGCTCTTAGTCTTGGAAACATGTGACTCAGAGAAGCAGGAATGTGTGCCCCACCCTTTTTAAACCCTGCAAACAGAACAAAATGGTACTTCTCTTTTCCTCCTGTGCTTAACGTGAGCAGCGGGTAAGTTACAAAATACGGTACCACTTTTCAATGAGGCTCCCCTTATAGATGGCTTGTAAATAGTTTATAGATAGGTTATTAATTCATCTATAACCACTTTATAAATCATTAATAAGTGTTTATAATGCATTAATTAAGAATAAGAAAGAGACAAAACTGTCTGGTTTCTTGCTAAATAGTGAACCAAATCTGTTCATGTACATATTATAAAGTGTTATATTAAACATTTCACACTAGGTTAACTTGTAAACACAATAATGTATTGGAAACACATATTTACATTAGTAAGTAAGTAAGTAAGTAAAAGTTTATTTATATAGCACCTTTCACAGAAAAGGATTTCACAAGGTGCTGTACATCCATTATCAGGAAGAAAAAGCCAAAATTAGATCTTTGATAGTTGTGGATATGTATAATAGTGCAATATTATGTGTAAAATATGTGTTTCCAATACATTCTTGTGTTTACAAGTTAACCTAGTGTGAAATGTTTATTATAGCACTTTAGATGTAATATGTACGTGAACAGATTTGGCTCACTATTTGACCAAAAAACGGACAGTTTTGTCTCTTTCTCGTCCTTAATTAATGCATAATAAACACTTAATAATGATTTATAAAGTGTTTACAGATAAATTAACAACCTATCTATATAGTATTTATAAGCCATCTATAAGGGGAGCCTTATTGTAAAGTGGTACCCAAAATACTGCTATCTTGCATGATTTCTGCCTCGGCTCAAAGTCTCAGTGGGTTGTATTCAATTCACTCCAGCAGGGGCTTCTAAAGGAATAAAGAAAAAAAGATCCCCAGTTTTTAGTGTCTCCTAATGCAGAAAGCTGAAAGACTGACACAATGGGTGTGATAGACCAATCTGTTTGCTTAAGCATGATTAAAATCTCCTTTAAGTATCTGAAAAATGTACTTTGCAACCTGCCTCTTCCACTCCTCTGAGCAGAGGCCAAGTTTGTGCTAAACACAATCAATCATTCGTTCTCTCTCTTAGCTCATGCAGAACGAAGGAACAGTGACAGCAGCACCCAACTTCAACCCCAGCGCAGATGCAGCAGTCCTGGACAAAGCCATCAAAGCAAAGGGTAAACTTCAAATAAACAAATGTAGGCTTTTTGTCATGTGTGAGCATGTTGTGGCCTCACTTCACCTTGCTGCTTCTACAGAACTTCATTGTTTATTGAAAAGGTGACGCTCATCATTACAGCGTATCTGTAGACGTGCTTAAAAAGTCAGTTGTCAACTTGTTGGTCCACAACGTTTAACCCAAACAATGTGTGCTAACGTAAGAATGAAAGAAATCATGATTCTGTTCCCTTTGCAGGTGTGGATGAAAACACCATCATTGAAGTTCTGGTCAAAAGGAGCAACGAGCAGAGACAGAAAATCAAAGAGGCTTACCAGCAAGCCACTGGCAAGGTAATGATAACTCCACAAACTTGTGGCCAGGAAGGAGATTTACTCTGCCAATCCTGCTGAACAGGATTTATTACTCATACAGCATGTGACTTACACTACCTGAGCATTAGGTCTATGTTTCCCTCTTAGCCTCTGGACTCAGCTCTGAAAAATGCTCTGAGTGGAGATCTGGAGGATGTGGTGCTCGCTCTTCTGAAAACACCAGCCCAGTACGATGCTTGTCAGCTAAAACAGGCAATGAAGGTACTGACACTCACACACACGCACACACAAACACACACACACACACACACACACACACACACACACACACAC